GCTTTCTGCAGGGAATCAGGAATAGTTTTGGCAAGCAGACACAGTTTGTACCAGGGGTCAGGAACAGTTGCTGCAGCAAGAGCTCTTGGGGCTCCTGCCCCCACCTCCTCACCCACAGCACTCCCGGGATCACCCCAGGGTTGGGAACAGCCCTGTCACTGCCTCTGGATGGGAATGTGTCCAAGCATCATCCCCCTGCCCAGCCCCAGCCAGGGGTCAACAGCCCTGGAGCTGGGTTATTCCCACGTGGTTTAAGAGCAAGTGGCCCATAAGGGGAGGGGAGAGCAGTGAGCAAGTGTGGCCCCAGCCATGGACCCACCCGAGCTCACATCCCACAGCTCCCAGCTTGGTCCCTCCAAGGGAACCACCCTTCAGCTCCACAAAGGGCCCTTCCCACCCCCCACTGCCTTTGGGTCCTCTGGGAAAGGAGAGGAAGGGGCAGGTTTGGAGCCCACACGGGCACTGAGCTCAGTTTGGTTCCATCCAGCTCTCACTGGGGCACTGATGAGGCTTTTAGGGGTTTGGGGTTTTTTTTTCCTTCTATGGGCTAAGTCCAGCTGTGGTTTAGAAGCACTGGTCTGGAGCAGCCCTCTCCAATCTGTTTCTTTGACTCATTTTTACTAGAGGAATTCTTTTTTTCCTCTCTGTTTCAAGCCCTAACCCTCCCCCCAGGCAGAAACAGCCTACCTGGTATTTACACCAGCCACAGAGGGGCTTCTCAGAGACCAGTTAAACATTGCAACTGGTCTGAACCTTCGCGTGGGACAAATCCCAGTTCTCTGTAAATAGCTGAGTCAAACAAAGACTTGGAGGCCACTTCCTATTTATAGCCATTCTTTTCTGGTTCAGGTGCACCTCCTGGGGAAACGTGGTGAGAGAAATCCCACAGGATTTCTCCCATCACCACTTCAGAGCCGTGTAGCTTGACGTTAACAGGAACTCTCTCAGCTCAAATACATCGTGTCTCTTTTGTAGCATTTTGTACCGATCCCTCCGTGTGGTAGCTGAAGCAATTTATGATTTTAATCAAAACAGGTTAATTTGCTTTATCCAGTACGTCAGCTCTCACTCCCCACCACCCCTGGAAAGGCTTTGTGGACTCTGGTAGCTGTTTCCTAGAGCAGAGCTGAAGCATCCAGCTTCTTTTGACTCAATTTGTCCATTTTACAAGGTTCACACGCCGTTTGTACTTTTTGTATCTGAAAACAGTGGAGCACCTCCAATCTGCCACCCCCCCTTCCAGTTCCACTCTAGCAGTTTTGTATTTATCTCTGATACAACCCAATAAACCTCATTTCAATGAGTCTCAGCTCTTGGTGTCTTTCTGGTGCAGAGTTCCTGATCCTCAGCTTTCCTCCCCACCCTCTGTTTAGTTTTATAAGTGCCTTACCCCTCCAGGGGAGGGCCAGGAGAGCTGGGGGTTTGTGCCCACTCACCAGCAACACCCTTTTTGCATCACAACCAACCTTTTCCTGCTCCTGGAGAGGTTGGATCCCTCTTTCCAGGGGATGTGCAGAGGAAGGAGACCAAGACTTACCCCACTGCCCAGGAATAACACAGCCTGTAAGTTTTTCCACCCTGCCCAAGGGCAGCCCCAGGTAAGGTTAATGTTCAGTGGATAATTAGAGCTTGCAAAATAAACTCATTAGAGGAGTAGGTTTATACTGTCACCGTGATGTCAGGAGCTGAACAGGTTTGGCCCAGGCATGGAAGGACAAGACTTCCCTTCACCTGAGCTGAGCTACATGGCTGTGGCTAAACTCGTGGAGAAAGCCAGACCCAAATCCTGCTCTGCAGGCTCAGAATGGGGCTCACAGCACATGGCCTTCAGTAAATCATTTCTCCTTTCCTGCAGGAAGTAAAAACCCTGCTTAGGAAGAACTCCAGGACACAAGTAGGGTTGTTTTTCCTTCTCACACTTTATTTCGGGTTAGCCTGTACTATTCACTAACTACCTTTACAACACAGCCCAGGAAACCCACTGTAGACACCACCAGCCCCTTCCCCATTGTTCTTTGGTTAGAAAAAAAAAAAAAAAAGCCTTTTAAAAAAAGTCACCCTCCAAAGAGCAAAAAAAAAACCAAAACCAGCTTAGCTGCACACTAGGAGAACATGTAACAACAGATCCAGGCCCTGCACGGGCTGAGAACAGACATATGGCTTTTTATTATTCCCCTCCAGGAGCTTCTAGAGCAGAAGAGCTTAACTCCAACTACACAGACAGCGTGTGAGTGAGCCCAGCTCTGTGAGCACAGCCTGGCAGAGGCTGCTGCTCTGGCAGCACGGTGGCTGGGATCACCCAGGATCACCCGGGATCACCCTGAGAGCTGCTCACCCAGCAGCAGGATCCTGACCCCCCCCCTTTCCACGACCACCTCAGCTGCCAAGCAATCAATACCTCTGACCTCAGGACAGGAAATCCCACCTCCAGGACAATAAATTAAGATATTGCATTTTCTCTCTCGGCCTGTTGGGGAGCGAGTCGGGAATGTCGTCGGCAGTGCCCAGGAGAAGGCCCAGGTTAAACACTCAGTGCCTCCAGCTCTTTGGGTTTCAGCAGCTTCTTGGCAGCTCTGATGGTGTTCTTCATCAGCATGGCCACTGTCATGGGCCCCACGCCCCCGGGGACAGGGGTGATGTAGCTGGCCTTCTTCCTCACCCCTGCAGGGAGGGAAGCTGGAGCTCAGCACACCAGGCAAGAACACACCCAGAACCCCCTTAACTCAGGTTCCTTCAGCATTGCCAGCTAAGGAGTAGGAGTTTCTCCAGGTGGATTTTCCCCCCCAGAGCTTCTCCATCCCTGCTGCTCAGCAAGGTGAACAGCAAAGCCCAAGCTGGGGCTAAAGCAAAACAGCAATGTCTAACAGGTGACTTCTAGCACAGGCACCTCAAATCCAGGACTACAAGTGGCCTTCACACATGCCCTTGGGGGCAGCCAGAATGCAGCAGGAGCACTGGGAACATCTGCCCCCTCTCTTTGCTCCAGGAAAAGGTCCCAGAGGGTTCCCCCAGCACCCAGAGGCACAGGGCTGGTGGCAAAGGCCCATCCAGGCACTGCTGCAGCCGAGCTGGGAGTGAGGCTAGCAAGGGGCACAGCAGCAGGTAAGTGCTGCCTGGTCTTGTTTAGGAGCAGGAATATTGAGTGATGAGTTGGAGCAGAGGCAAAGCAACCCCACTGCTCGGGCCCTGGCCTGAGGCTCCTCTGCCTCCCAGCACACAGCTCTCCCAGGAGAGCTGCACCCTCGGGCATGGTACAACTGTGGCCACACTTTGAAGCTCTGTCTGCTCAGTCCCTGAACCAGGACCTTCCCCTCCCCTGCCCAGCACCCTGGGTGTCCAATGCTCAAGGAACCAGCTGTGGGGTTTTTAACCTACCTTCAAAATCCACATCCCCAACCAGCCTCGACTTGGCCGTGATGGGATCCTGCACCCTCGTTATCCCCACGTCGATAACTGCAGCTCCCTCCTTGATCATGTCAGCAGTGATCAGGTTGGGGATTCCTGCAGGGAGGGAACAGCACTGCACGCTCACGGGGGTGCAACAGAGCCCCCTGCACCCCCTCACCCCATCCTCACCTTGTGTTTTGACCCATCCAGGCCTTCCTGCCCAGGAGACCTACCCACAGCTGCCCAGTCAGGAATCTGAGTGGTTCACCCCTAAGCTCAGAGCACAAAGAGCTGGAATCCACCCCCAGAAAGAGTTCAAAGCCACTGAGACCTAAAGCACTCCAAGTCAAAACCTGAGAGCTCGTGTTTGAAGTCTGTGGCTTCAGCAACAATCCTGCACCTGGAGCAGGTTCCAACCCCCCCAGCCCAGCTCAGAGCTGCTGCCTTCACCCTGGGGCTGTGAAAGCCCAGCGTGAGGGTGGGGAGCAGCAGCCTGGGGCTGAGCCACCCTCTCAGGGTGGGGTGTGTCTGTCTGCTTCTGCCAGATATGGGCACCTCCAGGAACTCGCTCCCACCCTGGGCTTTGTCAAGCCCCTCCCTGGAGCCTTCCTCTGCTCCCCTGACCCCCTCACACGGCTGGTCTGCCCTCGGTCCATGCACCTCCAACACTGATCCTGCACCCCCAGTGTCTCCCCTCCCTCCCCACAGGCTCACACCCAGCTTCTGCTGCCAGACACACCCCAGCTCAGCTCTGCTGAGAAGCCTCCTGCGTGCCAAGGGGACTGCCTGGAGAAGAACACCCCTCCCAGTGCTTCCCCATGCTCTGCAGCCAGCACTGCAGCCACCCCCCCGCTGATCTCTAGGTGAGCAGATGCTGTTTGGGTTCTTTTATCCCTCCACCCCACAAGACCACACCTGCCTGTATAACAGAGCCTGCCTGTAGCCATTCCCCACACCTGCTCAGGTGCTTGCTGGTGTTCCAAGCCCTCCCACCAGATGTTCTTCTGCGTTTCAAAACAGTTCTGCTGCTAAAACTCAAGCTCGTGTGGCTCCTGGGCTTAATCCCAGGATGAACTGGCAGCCTCAGAGAGGCCCCCCGCCCTACCCC